TGGAAACAAGGTTATTCTTTAGTAAGCTGACAGTTTGGGTCCTTAATGTTCAGCAATGAAAAAACCAGAAATGATGCCTTCCCAGAAGACAGCAAATTAAAAAAGAAAAATGGGAAAGAAAGCTAGCTACAGGAAACATGATTTACATTCCAACATCAGGACTTTATAACTGTGGAGCACCTTTGAAAGTTAGCTCTGTCTGTCATGCAAGTGAAACCAATTTTTACTGTGCAAAACAGATTGACAGAAACCAGACATCATTACTGTGTGACATCCCAGGACCTAGAGAAAAAGAGTTCCAGGCCAGGTTTCTTAGTGGAAAAATGTCCACTCTGCCAATGGCCATCTCCCCAAACAGGGTAACAAGTGAATGAGCGATAAGATGGGTTTCACGGTAATAACCGAATGACTAGTCTTTAACTACCAATAGTATCCTATATTGGCTATTGAATATATGCACTTTAAAAAACTTGTAAAAACTTTTAATTTTGACCTCAATGTTTTACTTTGCATATTAGTTTAGGGTACTTAATCAGCTTAGGGAATGAATAATAGTTTTGTTTCCCACTATCCCTCATAGGAAGAGAATTATTAGGCCCAACTTTATTTATAGTGTTTTAGAAAGGCTCTGTTTACTTTGACTTTTGTGAAATATCATACTAGGGTTTTTAAAGCTACTTTTATTGTTTTCTGTTTTTTATTTGGAATTGTGCAGAACCCAAATTAAAAACATCTTAAAGTGTGCAAATACCTCAAGTGGTTTGGGGGCTTCGCTTATTGTGGTGTTGGAAGAGCAGGGTAAAAGCAATGTATTGATAATTTTCAATCCTGTAAAAAATGAAACTATTATTCTTCACAATAATTCTCTGTAATATTCTATTGAGAATAGGTTTTTAACTAGTCATATGCTGCATATGATATTTGATATACATTTTCTAAGCAAGACAAACAGCATTGCAAGACACTACTGTAGATCTACCATTTGCTTATTTGACATTGTCACTGTATTTCCAGTGCTGAGAATAATTGTGAGTTAAATAAATGGTTTTGGTTGAATGAATGGATGAACAAATGAATATGTATAAAGTGACATCTTTTGAAAATGATGATAGATTCAAATTTGAACTTAAAGACCCTTACACTCAATTATTTCTAGCATTTCTTCTCAGCTTCGTGCAAAGGACTTGCTTACCCTCCCTATACTTTTCAAACAATTTTTTCTAATGAAGTTGTTTTTGTTTTTGTCAGCTCTCAAGCACTGTATTAATGAGAGGTGTAGTACAAAACTGGGAAATCACAGTCTTCGAGTAAGGCAAACCTGGGTTCTGATCCCATTTCTGCTATTTACTTCCTGTGCTCAGGGCAAGGTGTGTGTCTTCCCTGAAACTGAGTTTTTGCCATGCATAAAAATGAGAGTGATAGTCTAAATTCTTAATTGAGCAACCAGTCAACAGACCTAACATAGTACCTAGTACATAGCAGACACTCAAATTACTTAATTATATCATTTATGAGTCATTATTTTAAAATGAACCACAAATAAAAGGCAAGTGCCAACAGAGTATTGAACATTTTCCACTTTCTTCTTGTTTTACCAGAAGACGACTTTTTCCATGAACTCCCAGAAACATTTCCATCTGATCCACCTGAGCCTCTGCCACATTTCCTTATTGAGCCTGAAGAAGCTTATATTGTGAAGAATAAGCCTGTGAACCTATATTGTAAAGCCAGCCCTGCCACCCAGATCTATTTCAAGTGCAACAGCGAATGGGTTCATCAGAAGGACCACATCGTGGATGAGAGAGTAGATGAAACCTCTGGTGAGTTTCCCATTGCATTTGTACTGCTGTTTTGGATTCACTTATTCACTACTTTGGCATGTTGTCATACTGTTCTTTCAATTAGTGAAATTGGAAATGGGGTTATTATCTTTTGGCAGAAAGTTTTGAATCAGTATGGTTCAGATTTGGTGATCTCATGCCACGTGCTTCAAAGTAAATGTGATGAATGAATCTTGACTTGATTGCTGTTGGACTACATGGAATTAAAACTGGTTCATGCTTAAGAAAATAAATAATGATAATGAATAGACTGAACTAATGGAAAACACCCTAATAAAAGACAGCCTTCAATTAAGCAATTTCTTTGTCACGTTGGGTGTCAGGTCTAAGTATCCTGAGATTGGGGAACATGTCCAACTAAGAATAAATTGTACTTATTTACATGTTAGTTCACATGCATGGTTTCCTCTTATATTTTTTAAACTATTTGTACATGTTACAGATTCAAAATATCCTGTATCCTTAACTTATATCTAAAAATGAATCCTGATGACCTCTTAGCTGAAGTTAAATTGAGAGAGATTGAGAGTAGTAATAGTGTGGGATCCTGGAAGAGAAGTGTAGCTACTTACACGTAGCTACCACCTGGGTGTATCTGGATCAGAGTATTCTTTGCTCTTGGCATGATTAAAATTCCTAACTTAATTGCTCTGTAAATACCATTCTTAACAGTAAAATACTAAAGGTTTAGAGAGAACAAAATAGATTTTAATAATTTGTGGGATTTAGGTTGGCTATGAGGGAAACTTTCTTGATAGCAATTATTTACTATCAAGTGATGGGTAATTTAAGATAGCCATGGACTCTCCCAGAGTTATTTTAAATTGGAAGGATATGTATCTTTCTATGCAATTTTAAGTATTTTTGCTCTCCAGCAGGGAGAATCACAATCTAAGCTTTCAGATCCCTTCCAGATCTATTACTTTATAATAGTAAGACATGTATTTTACATCTTAAGACCTCACTGATCAACATTTCCAAGCTAAATAATGACAAATATGACAGAAGTGGAAGCATTTAAGTATCTTCATGTTCTCTTGTAAAAATCTCTACATACAAAAATAGATACATGCTTTCAAAAATAAGAACTGTAGTTATTCATATTTGATCCAATGTTGGATTAACCAGGGGCAAGCACAGACCAGCACTGGAGATCTGTGCTCAATACCTTGTCGGCATAAAGAGCGTACTGAGCTGATGGGACCTAAGGAAACATAACAGACTGTGAGAGGACTGAGAAAAGGCATGTTTTAGAAAGGCATGTGGGGCATATACTTACATAACACAACTGGTCTTGAAAAATCAGATGGCAGCTCTACATAACTGCTTATGAATTTGAATCAATATGCTCACTTCATGCAAGCTGATGGCTGTAGAAGTAACAAGCTCTCCAATGGTATAGTAGCTTACTTCAGGAAATTGTCTCACCTCTTGGTCTTATTACTCAGAAAGTAACCTCACCAGATGTCTTCCAAATCTCAAGTGAATTGAGTTTTGTTTTAGCTCATTTATTTGTAAAGATCTCAAACATGCAAGTTTTAGTGGTAACAGGAAAAACAAAGAAATCATAAAAGCCTAAGTGAGCATCACATATTTAGGCTCACCTTTACTAAATTAATGAAAATGCCTCTGTAGGAAGATTAGAAATAAAAATAAAACTACTCTGACATAGAGCACCTTGCCAAGCTCATGGTATGTTGGTTATATTTGTGCATCTGTATAGGTACATATGTGTATATATACCTACATATAGGTATATTTATTGTATGTAATAAACACATATATGTATATATATAATACATTTCCCTCTGTAAAACATTATATTTTTCATTATTTCTGAAAAAAACCCTATCTCATTCTTTATAACAAAATAATTCTAGATTTTAAGGTTTAATTCCATTATCATCATTATTGGCATTACTACCATCATCATCAGGAGAAAATTTTGGTAATTTTTTGGTTTTTTTGGATGTTTGTTTCATTTAGTGGTGGGCAGAGTCTTTTTAATGAAGACAAAAATCAAAAAGCCTTATAAGACAGCATTATTAAGTTTGATTCCAAAACAACAAAAACACAAAGACGCAGAAAGACACAAAACTTGATATTACTGCTAATGTTAATCAAATGGCTAATTTAATTCATAAAAATTACTTTTTTAAAAATAAGCAACCCAACAGAAAACTGAGCAGAGTGCCAACGGGAAATCAACGAGTAAGGAGATGCTGTAGAGGTCAAAGTGGTGGTTAGCATGCAGAGCTGATAGAGGCATGGGATAGGAAATATCCCACACTTTGTTGATGAGGTTACAAATTGGTAAAATATTTTCAAAGGATCATTTAAAATACCCTTTAATATTTAAATATATATACCTGCTCACTACAAGTTTAGGAGCTATCTAAAAATAAATCTCCAAATGAGCACAAAGATTTGCGCGTAAGGCTGTCCACGGTATCCTTGCCTCAGCAGCATACCAAGACCTGTTCATCCCTGAGATGCAATCCTGTGATGCTTGGTAAAATAATGAGGATTCACACGTGTGAAGCTGTAGAAAAACCTATCAGATAAAATTTTATGTGAAAAACCAGAGTACAGAACATTGCATGCAATGTGTTCTCATTATGTAAAGAAAGAGGATACACATATATTTGACTATGCATTGGGATTTCCTGGAGAAATATTCAATAAGCAGTTGACAGCTAGGAATCTGGGGGGATAGGAGACTTCTTTTATTGTTTGATTTTTGTCAATCCTGTGAATGTGTTATTTTCATAAGAAAAGAGACCTAAAAAGAAATTGGTTCTTGGATGATATAGGACACAAAGAAGTCATCACAAACAAATTCATTTTTAGAAATACCTCTGCCTTAGAATAATGACATTTGTAAACAAGTTTAGTGGCAATCAGATACATTGCCTTGCAACTAAGAGAAATCAACTAAGTTCAAAAAAATCTTCATCAAAGGTACCCTCACATTAAAAAATAAAAAATATTCAAACTCAAAGAAGGAACAAAAGTCCAATTCACAAAATTCTTCCTTTTAAATTATGAAGGCATTAAATAGGCTCTTTTGCTCTGAAATATGAAGCAAAGGATCATTTGTACTCCCTCAGCAAAGCTATCCCATTGATCATAAAATGTGCTGATTGAAGATCACTCATTACTGTTACTGTTTGCCTTTCTATCATTTAAATCACATTTGCATTTCTTGCAAATATGTAATATAAGAAACAAAAATGTGCAAAGCAGTATATATTAGATGGTTGAGAAATTTTCAGTATTCAGAAGCCCTTGATCTGGTGATAGAGCAATAAGTGTTTATGTTCCTTCAGAATTCCTTAGAAATCTTGCTTTGCTCAAAGTTTGTATGGTTACATTTTTAAGAAATACTCAGGCTCAGCTCCTTGCTTTCTATTTACTTGAAGTCTTTTCAGTCCTTGTTTCCATGGTACCTAAGATTCACCATTGAAAAGCAAATATTTCCCCTCTGTGAAGAAGCAAGTGAGTTTGGAAAACCTTGGTGGATTTGAAATTTTAATAATCCCTGAGATTTTCCCTTTCACCTTTAATTATTCTCACATTAGTGCAATATTATCAGTATGACCAACACTGCAACAATAAAAATTTTCAAGCATTCTATTGAAAATCTAATATGTATTATGTCATTCAGTCATCACAACAATCACAACAGCCTTATGGGGTAATTTCTGGGATTCTCCTTTTGTACATGAGAAAACTGAAGCTCAGGAGGATACACTAACATGTCCCAAATCACATAGCTATGAGGTGACAGAGCCAGGATACAAATACAGGGCTCTCTAATTGCAAAGCTTTTGGTCTTGGCCCTGTTCCCAGTAGTCCCTTAATCCAGCAATAACTACCAAACACAGAACAGTTTGCATAAAAAAGAGCTTTGTGATATTTTTTTTCCTTTTCTCAGTAAAAGAAAACTTGGTCCAGAGTGTCAGCTAAACATTTGTCTTTTATACTTTCATCTGCCTTCCTTGCCTTGTGTCAGATTTTCCATAGGTGGGCCCTTTCTGTTTTTTAATATAATAACTTAAGCTAGGGCTTAGTATTTGATTCTTTTTATTCTTGGAGGTCTTTAGCACCATTTTTAGGTCTAGGGTCACGTAGCAAAAGGTGAGCCTTAACAGAAAAAAAGAAATTAATGAGGAGAATCTACACTGGGTGCAAACTTAAGCGAATTACATTTACCCAAAATAGAGTTTCTACAAATATACTGTGCTCATCCAGGTCTTCATTTGTTACAAGAGTGCCACAATTGAACTTCTTTCTTTTCTTGTGGTCCTGTTCCAGATACCTCTTTTCTCCATCCCATCACCAAAAATAGAAATATCAGCTTCATGAACTCCTTACTTCAACAGCCAAAGCCGTCAATTACTGCCAATTCTTTCTCAGAATTCTCCTCCCATCAATCATCCTTCTATTTCTCATTCTTGTTGCTGCTGCTTGAATACAGGCCTTTATTATGTGCCTCTTAGATCATCTCAGGAGCCTCTGACACATCCCTCGTTTCAGTGTTCCTCCTCGGCAGTCCAGTCTCCAGGTAGGGGCAGGCATCCAGCACAAGCCCAAGTGATTATATCATCCCATTTCTTAAAATACATAATGGCTTTCCTGTGTCTATGGGATGAAGCTTATCCTCCTTGGTCATATATTCAAAAGCTACAGTACATTTGGTTCCTAATCATACTTACCAGCCTTATTCCAAGTAGTTTTTCCTCTCCTATGTGTCCTATATGCTAGGCCTCTTTGGTTTTCTCTCTTAAACTGGATTCAATAAACCACAAATGTCTTGTAATTGGTTTTGAGGAAAAAATAAAACAAAACAAAACAAAACCAAAACCAAAGTACTTTGTGGTCAAATAATTTCAGAAACACTTCAATAATTATATCCTCCTTTTGGATAAAAGTGTAACGTATTTGCCTGTAAAAGTCCCAGGAAAGCTCTGCAATAG